ATTCAAGAGAAGAGCGAATGTGGCTCATTGTCGGGGCAGTAGTCTCTTCAGGGGGAGCTCTCTTCAACCTGTGCACTTCCGGAGGATTTGAGCGCGTAGTCCAAGCTCCCTGTGAAACCCATGCTGATTGCCCACTCGTCCTCAGCGTGAAAACAATCAACACATCATTGGTCCGAGCTGACATCCACCCGATTTTCAGCGGCGGAACCGATCCGGGTCGAGCATCTCTCGAAACTTGCTTCGTCAAACACGTGGAACAGAAGCACGGATTGCAGGTTGAGGATGAACAGATCGACAGCCTCCGGTTTTTGGCAACGGAAGCGTTTGTTCAACTCCCAGAATTATCTAAAGTGGAGGATTGTCAGAATGGCTCGAAGGGTGAGGAGGATATTCCGTACGTCCAATTGTTCCAACCAGAGTTCGAGCACTCGAGATCCTCTCTATTCACCGCCTTATATGCACCAAGCTGCCTAGCGGGCCGAAGTTTTCGCTGACCGTGCCGCAGAAGGTTTTCCTTCCCGAGAAACCACTCGACGTCTCGATTGCTGCGCTGACTCAAACACGGTGGAGTATCCAGATTCGTTGATGATGATGATGATGATAGTATTCAATGGCGTCAGCAGTCAGGGAAGCAATCGTTTACCGGATGGAATTCGGTGCTCACACCATTCGAGAGAGAAGGCATTTAGGTTCAACCTCTTGCTCAGAGTGAATTCGCCCCATCGTTAGTGTGCGGGCCAACTGACCGAGCGAGAAGCCAGCTGTCGACTAAACGTTTAGACACAGAACAACACTCGACAACGATCTTTCGACTAGAGCTTTGGGTGCTTGCCGTTTATTTATGCTTGTTCTTGATTTCTCCATAAACTGTTCGATAGAGAAACCATGTTGTTGGCAACGACGACGGCAACGAACAGTAATCGAGTGGGCTCAGATCTCGGTACACGTTCGTTGTTCCTTGAGGGTTTTTCTTTGTTTTTCCCTTGCTCTATTGATCTCGTCCAAACGACTATTCCCTCGATGGCTTTGCTTTATGAGTCTGCCAACGAGCGAACGACCATGGGAGAGATTTTTTCCTCCGAAGCGAGACACTGTGGAAGGAGCGGTTGCTCTTTCGAGAGTAATGAGAGAGTCCTGCCTCCGTGACAGACAAATGAGCTTTAAACAGTTTTTGCCGTCGCTCGTTCTTCGCTTCGCGCGCTTTATCAAAAGATACGGAGCCGCTCACTCTCGGAACTGAGAACCATAACAATAATTCTTTCGCCGACAGTGTTCCAGCCCGCGACGAGATTCCCTAACGAGTATTGGCGATTAAGATGGTTTTTCCAGTATCTCCATTATCGCCTGGATGTCGAAGATCGATGCAGTTTTCCGTGCACGGCTTACAGCCAGGAGTAGTATGAATGCGGCAGGAGGATGTGGACATTCCCCGAGCTGCGAGGTCGAGCAGATTCTGATGGAGTGGGAAATCGTGGAGCGACTCAGGTTCAATCCCGAATCTCCGACTCTCTACTTCACTCAAGATGACCTTGAACTTACTTCGCCTTCACAGTGTCGCTCTCAGGCATAAGGAAGATACGATGTCGATTTCCTGAATGGAATCCTCTTCTCCCCGAAATTCCTCGATCGTTAGTCTTCATCCCCGGAAGATAAGGGGAGCCAAGATTGCGCGAAAGACACGGATGCGGATTTATTTAGAGAGCATAAGTGTGCGAGTTCACATGCGAGGCTGCCCAGGGAAGAGCGAGTCGCGGAAACAGGAGCTGCAGATCGTTTCTGGGATCTTGTTTGATCTGGTGTTTATCTCATTGCTGAATGAATCTGTCTGTCGACTAGAAGATCGATTCGCACCGCCTTCCGATCGCTTTCAGACATCCTTCTTGTGTCGCTCGTTACCTCTCGCACCCGCTATGACCCGAGTTTTCGATCCATCTATCGTTCCGGCTTCGCTCGATCGTTCGGCAGCAAATCTGAAGCGCGTACAATCGATCTCTGACAGTTTAGGCAAAGGAAAACAGGCCGAGCGAAGAGTATACACGCTCGTCTCCTCTTCTGCCTAATTTCCAGAATCGAGTCGTCAACTCCCTAGTGCATAGACTTCTACGCCAGCTCTTACAAGCTGTGTATATTTACGAGAGACACATCCGACACACGAATGACCATGACTTTCTCGAGTCTCAGAACGAACCACCATCCATATCTACGAGAATTTGACCTTTCGCGTTCATTGGGAGCGATTCGAGTAGCAGTCACCAAACAATAACAATGAAGGCTTCTCATAGCGCGATGCTGTCTATAAGTCTATCTACTCTGCGAATGACAATTCCTCCATTGTCAGCCGCGGCTAGAGTGACCGGGTGGTAGTGGTCAGCGGTGAGTTGTACATATGTGCCTGTGAGTGCTTGTTCGCTCATTAGTAGATCGAGTATACGATCAATGAGCCGACAGAGCAATTTCACAAAGGGTCAGAGCGATGCTCCCCTGGGCTCCGATTGTAGGACCAGCTGCTCCCGAAGCGAGCAGTTCACTGGAACTCCCCGGTTCCCCTTGAGAATCAACAGCTTTCCACGGGGAGACCTCGTGCGAATCCGAAAATCCGGCGGGGAACTCGGAGCCCGCGACAGTTTGGCCGACTCAGTTCGCTGACGTAATCTGACGGGTTGTGTGGGAGCTCGCGTGAATCTTCGGCAGGTGTCGTCATCCAGATGGATCAGATATTCCCTCCAGCCCTCGGTCAGTGAATAATCGCAGTCTCACATCTGCCAACTCCGGCCCACATATCGCTCGGATGTCCATCGAGTTTTTTCTTGCGAAGAAGGCGGCAAACAATAATGAATACTACGGGGCCAGCCGTCACGAGTTGATGGGCACCACGAGCCCAGTCACCTGCCCAGTCCAGCATTCGGCGATATGCAATGGAATACACTCTTTATACATAGTGCAATTGCTGTCTGTCACACGAAGGACTGCTGCCGCAGCTGCCCTTCCTGGCACGAGGCAACTCGGCTTGCCATTCCCGCTAGCTAGCTTGCATGCATGTACGATCCCGCGTGTCGGAGAGTGTGCTCAGTGGCGCGCTCGCTCTCGGCTCCCATAGACGTTCATGGACTGGTGTCAAGTGCAGATGTCTCCGATGGAGGGAGCGACACACGAGCGCTCTGTACTTGAAAGCCGCTAGCTTGATATAATTGGATTCACTGGGGGAGATTGTTTTGAATCAATCTGGTTCGCCCAGTCAGCCTGCCGAGGCTCAACCATGCGCCAAAATCGTCGCTGCTCCACCATCGTCTTCCGTTTCGCCCTCGTTCTACAACTTGCGCCATCGACAGGACAGGGCTCACGGCGACCGTTCACGCGTTTCGAATGAATGAATGGATGGACCATGTGATCGAATGCCTGTCGTGGAGGAATATTTCCCTCTGGACGCGGTCCTTGGATCCATCGGAACTTGCCGAGTCCTAATTTTCCATTCCCGTATCTTTTGTGGATGCCGGAACGAGTGCTATCTCGATCGAGTCTATTGGGGATATAATCCTGACGCCTAAAAGTCCCGAACCTTTCGGCGATAGTCAAGTCTGAGTGAGGGGCTGCTTCGTGCCTCATACGCTCAGATGATCAGCGTTCCACATGCCCGTGCTTAACGGCTGTGCTCGGCGAAGTAGGCTCCTGATGTATGCATAAGCAAGCTGTCAACAGCGGCGAGCACTGCCGCTCCATTGCCGCTGCGACCACCGTTGCACCAAATGTGGATAATCAGTTCCAGGATACGGTATGAATACATATCGAACGGATGAACACATCCTCCTCCGAATATTCATCCCCCGCGCGCTGTCGTCGTCTAGCGCTGCCTCAGCCGTCTCGAGTGGAGTCTGGTCCAGGTCTCGCGAGGGGGTCTTCCCCCCGCGCGTCTTCCCGTACCGAAACCAATTTTTTCTTCAATCCACGCGCAATCAGAAAGCGTTCCGCGTGGTGAACCCCAAAACTTCTCGCTTATCAGAACGTTCGACCCGCGGTAGTGTTTCAGATTTAACAGATTTGAATCGGCCCTCTCGATATAGATGTACTCGGTCGAAGCTGTCGGGAAGGGGTAGAATCACTGTAATCATGAGGAGTCGCAAGGATGAAGGAATGTATGTACCTAAGAGCGATGCCCTACGTACCTACCCACTCACTCACTCACTCACTCAATCGGTATGCTCCGAAATCGGGATGCTCCGAAATCGGCAACCCTCCTCGTTCCATGATACCAACCCCGAATTCATCGGTGGACCTACTGAGCGAATATCATCGCTGATCGCAGGATTCAATAATCATGGGACAGAAGACTGTTTCGATTCACAATCAGCAAACGGGATCTGCCATTCGCTCCTCCGCAGGACCAGGCGGATCGAGCTCCGGAACGAACCAACGAAGCCGAGTGTGCGCATGATCGCGAGGTAGGTCGGATTGGCTCGTGGATCGGTGGGCGACCGACCGGCCATCGGAGCGACTGATCGACCAAGCGAACAAGTGACTGACTTTTGACAGAGCGACGGTTATCAAATGAACCCCCTCGTTCGATGTCGGACGAAGTGAAACAGTGGATAGCGAAACCAGTTCACCCTCTGGAGCCGCTCGCTGCTCAACCGGGGAGATGATACAAGTGTGAAACGTGTTGCCACCTTGGCGGCAGCTGTAGCTCACTTCGTTCGCTCACTTAGCCTGTCGCACTTAGAGAACAAGCTCATATAGAGCGATAATGTGCTCGACGAAGGCCGAAGCGATCGAGTTAGTGAGCCCCGACCATTCGTGCACCAATCGGTGCACAAAACGACTCTCCGAGCAATCTGTTCTCGCATCAGTGTCCAGGCTAGAGTTCACCTTCAAAAGCCTGGGTTTCGGCTCCGGTATTCCGTTCACATCGCATCCAGCTACGGAGCTTCCGTGAAACTTTTCGTACGGTTTTCGTGATCCGCGAGCTTGGGAAAAACTGCAATTCGATATAGGCATGATTCACTCACCTCCGGGGGGGAACGGACACAGGGGTTGAATCGGGAGCTCAAAGGGTGAGGGACTCCGTTCCGCTTTCGGAAAGTCGTTCCTTTCGAGGATTGCATCGATACTGAAGTTCAAAGGCTTCGGTGGCGGCGTTTCTTCAGCTTCTGTTTTAGTTTGCGTGGACGACTCGTTCCTGTGGTGTTCGAGAATACGAGCCATCGAGAACATGGTCGCCCTCCGCAACTCGATTGGTTCCGTCTGATGAAGGTGACGATGATGATGGTGTTTGAGCTCCAGGGGCTCCTCGACATCGACGCTATCGCTATCGGAACTTGCGTCCACATCTGTCATCGTTATTGCACGTCTTTTGCACGTCTCCCACTTTTCCGCACTCTCACTTGAACACCTGCGGCCACCGACCGGGAACAACGGGGTTGTTCTGGACGCGCGCGCGGAACTTCCCAGCTGACCCTGCTACCGATGGGTCGAGTTATAGAAGGACGATTTCAGAGGTTCAGAATGAAGAACCGAACTTCTTCTCCGATCTCTTTCTAGTTCTTCGGCTGCCACCAGACTATTGCACAGTCAGAAGGTTCCTTCCTCCTCCCGTTCCGCTTTGCCGAATGCAGCGGTTACGCTTGCGGTCAGTTTATGGGAGATGAGATGGCGGAGTTGGCCGTGGTCGTCGCTCGGACAGGAGTCCGGTGAGGGTCACATGCCGGATGACGACGACGATTTGAACTCGTTCGAATTGTCTGTTCCTCCTCTATCCGACTGCACTGGATAGGAAAATGGCTCTCTGTGGCACTGTTTGCGCGGTTGAAACGACGATTAGCGCTCGCGAGAGACTCGAAAGCGAGAGGATGGAAGTCCCGCCCGTGGGTGGAGCCATAGGGACCCACAGAGGAGACAACATGTCTGTATTATGTATTAATATGCTCCCTCTCAACGGCCCCCTCCGACGGGTTGGCTGGTTCCCTCGCTCGCTGCCCTGCAGCCTGCACACTCGTTCGAGAGGAGAACCTGACGAGGCGAAAATCTTGACGCGCGTCGACAACCCCCGGAAGTAGTTCCATCAAGCTAAACGGTGGCCCTCTAGCGGAGCAAAACGACTTCGGCTCGGCTGGGGTTCCGGTCGACTCGGAGCGCTCGTATCTCCATATAATATTATGATCCCTGTATGCTTCTCTCGGCCGTGTCCAAAAGCGGCGGCGGCCACGGCGACGACGCACGGCTCACGGCGAGTGAGCGCATGTGTATTTTCAGAGGTTGATCATATCAGCGCCTGCGGAGAACTCAAGCTCCCGAGCTTGTTCCCGCCGCTACCCCACCGGGCCTTCCCTGAGGGCTCGCAGATGCTGCTGCCGCCGCCGCCACCACCACCATTGTGTTTAATAGTTAATAGAGCGAGCGAGAGAGGAAGAGAGGGATGGCGACAACAACGACAATGACGGCTGACACGGCGGGCCGGCCGATAATATTGTCCTCGTCATCTTGTCGTCGTTGTTGTTGTCGCCGCCACCGCCAGTACCGCTGCCGGGAACGGTATTCGGGTCCACCGCACAAAATCAATCATGGCGACGCGGCGACTCTTGGGGGTCTTCACAACACGTGTAGTGACCACGGAGGAGAGTGGGTAGCCGCAAATAACGACACGCGCAAGAGAAAACAATTAGCACGCGTCGCTCATCCATTCATCGACCGATTTCTCACCTGCCAGCCGTAACCGTTTCTCTGTTTTCTCCAATAACAGTCATATTGTCTGCTCGGGTGATCCACGGCCACAGAGCAACATCCAGCCGAGTTGACGCACCTTTTCTCGACTCGATCCTTTTGACTATAATCGAGTGCCTGGCGCTCTGTTTTTTCACTGATCGACCGGAGCACCCGCCGCTGTAGCTACTGACAAGAAAAATACCGAGGAAAAACGTTCTGGTGCACATGAGTGCTTTTCGCCTGAATCGTTCACGAGGTGAGCGTGTAGAACGAGTTCAGAAATCCTATTCTCTCCGCTCATGATTCCTCTGGAGGACAGATCCTGAGTAGAAAGACTAATGGCTCGGGCCGGGTGGTCTCGGATCGTTTGTACCAGATAGGATTCCGAAAACTCTCTTGGAAAAACAATGACCCGTCAATGCTCGCTACCAGGTCGCGGATCGTGGAGCGTCGTTCCGCCATGGTCAGGAATTTTCCCATGATTGAGCGCTCCCTGGAAACATTGTTGTTTTGCTCTCGAGCCCGAATGGATTTCCTCAAATTGTGGTCGCATTAATTCGCAGAAAGCCCTCTGTCTGACTTTATGACGGTGGGAATGTTTATCTGATGCTCGATCGGCTGGGAGCGTGTAAGGGTGCCGAATACAATGAACCGATAACCTCGTGAGACCCAGGCATATTGATCTGACTGTATATTCCTCTTTTCCCCCGAAACTGCGACGATTTTCCGGTGGGTTCGAAGCCTTCCCCGCCCCGTAGGCAGCCAGAGCCATGATCAGCTCGTGACGATCTCTAGAGTCTTTTCTTTGCGAATCTCAGAGAAATCTTCATCTGTGAGTTCTTGAGTCCACTGCGGGATTCCCAGACGAACGTCGCCGGAGGATGAGAGAAGCGAGAGTTGCAGGACTCTGCGTGTCCCGAGGCAGCAAGTCCAATAATTGCGAAGGGAGACTCCAGGACTCTCGAATCGACAAGAGTTTGCGCAGCGAAATCACCGTGCTGCAAACGACAGCTTTGTGGCCAATTGACGGATGACTGGGTGTTGCTATAGGTTTCGATGGCCGCTTCTCTCGATTTGCTCTGTTTGGTCCTGGAGCTGCTCGAATTGCTCAAGTTGTACCAGCTCATACGGGCCGTGTGTACAAGCTATGTCTCGGACTCTCTCTTTTTCCGGGACGGTGAGCTCGCCGTTCTACTCCTTCGAAGCAGTTCCTCGAGGAGGGGAATAACGGCAACGTTCCAGGGTTCTCATCGAATAAAATGTTTTACCCCATGCTCTCGCGCCTAGCAGAGCTTCACTCTGTCACATTCGCCTCAGGTGCGCTCAGCGATCGACTCCGGGTCGCCAGTTTTCGAGGGTTGCCCGATTCCATGATCCGATATGTGTAGGTCCCCGAGCTCGCGCTCTCGAGACCCGCGGGTGACATTCCATTGGCTCGTATCGAGCTCTAAGGAGGATCTCCCATCATACCCTCAATCAGGGCAGTCACTTTTTTCTCCAAATTTTCCGCGGTCGGGGAAAACTCGACCCGAAATTCCTGTCGGGCCCATCATCGGCGGCCGTCACGGATCTCGAGAGGAACAAATCAATAGTTTTATTCAGCTCACTCAATCAAGCAAGCATGGATAGATGACCAATGAATCCGGAGTGGCCGAGTTGTTGTTGTCCGATGAAATTTTAGAAGCCACATGTTGCTCTTTAGGCCGAAAACTCCAGAAACGCCGGTTTGTGGAGTTCACATACGGTTCTTCGACCGCGCGCGACGTATTGGCGCCTCACGGCATCGCTGAACGTGTCGATTGCTAGCTTTCTAACCGGGGAACTGTTCGGCTCTCGGGCCGGTTTCTAGTTCGATGGTCAATTCGTTTCGAAGCCAGTTCGTTTCCTTCTGTCATTCCGTCTCGGTGGCGGGCGCGCCGCCTGTCTGACTGGTTGTTATCCGAGACAGCGTCTGCTCCAACCGAGGAATTCCCGCCCGAGTCGTGGACTTGCTCTACGGTTGGCTCGGAATTTCGATGCGAAAATTCCAGGCGGTTGTTCTCGGCTCGTCTTCATTCATATGTGCCTCGCGGCGACCACGAAACAGGCTCGCCTATGCGCTATTCCATCGAAGGAGCAGAAAGTTGTTGCGCTTTGAGGCGAGCCGCCCAATTATTCCTCGTGGAGGACATCGCCGATTTCAGTATTCCTCCACGGCTCGGACCCCCGACACGAATTCAAGAAAAATGATTTATCTAGATCGGGGTCGATTATGCAGGACGAGGATCATCGTAGGAGAATATCATCGAGGTTTCGAAAAGGATCGAAGCAGAGTCGAGTACTGCAGGGTCCTTGGGTAGCTATGCCCCTAACGGCATGCTGATGATGTCTTATTGGTTCGGGAACAGAACGATGAAAGAGAGATGAAGAAGCTTGAAGTATCTCATCTGTTCGATTCTCGCCGCGACCGACGGTTGAAGCTGGTGGTGGTGGTTCTTCTTTTCCGTCTTATTTCTCGGCTTTGAATGCTGAATGGCTGGAGAAGTGGTCCCCTCTGTGATCTGCTTCAATTCTGTCCATTGAATCGTCGTCTCAGCTGTCACCCGCAGAATTGCTCTCGACTTCTTTCTCATCGTGGTCGTTGTCGTCGTCGTCTTCGTCTCGGTAGTCGTCATCCTCGTCGTTTTCCTCTCAGCCAGACGTTCTTCTAGGAAGCATCTTCTCTGACTGGGAGCCCAAGTGATCCCTATTAAGGCGATCACGGCCTTCCTCTACGGAGGAGGGCCGTAATCGTGAAACATCCCGTCCTGAGGAAGCTTTCTCCCGTAGAAGTCGCCTCCTAGCCCTTGCAATGGAACCGGGAAGAACTCCCGAGGATATACAATCCTGCGTAGATCAGCGCCGGGCTCCTCTGCGGAGCATGGAGGGAATCAGAATTCAGAGCGTGACCTCTCCTTCGTCAATCTGTGCGGAGTAATCTGCCCCGTCCAACTATCTCCATTTAGTGAAGAAAAAGTCCACAGACTATCGCAGAACTCCAATTTATCGCTGAAAAGGTCAGGGGAGCGCTCAGAGAGACTCCGGGGGAGCAATCGATTCCGATGCGAAGTTTGATAGCCAATCAGGGCTATCTATACAAGGAGCGGATCGTTCCCCCCCACAATGATTCAATTGAGTCCTGGTAATTGTTCTCCGCCTCGAACAGCCGGGGCAGCGGGCCAAAGCACGACGGCCACGCCTCCGCTCTCGTCGTCCGCCGCCACCGCCGTATCATCATCTCCTTTTCCACAGAGTGTTGAGAGAACAATTTATTCATCTATTAACATTAGAATCAGGCCCAATTTGATAATCGTTGAACCTATTATCCGAATAATGGAGCACTTCCTCTCGGAGCGGTGCCTCCTTTGATGAGCTGCTTTAATGAGCTCTGACAAGAAATCATGTTCGCTCGGATAGCTCGCAGATTCCAACCCTCGATTAATCTCGTCCGGCGTGCCCCAATCCCTGAGTACCGGTCGCTCTCTCAGCTGGAAAACCGAGTAGTCAGAAATCACTCCAAGCAACGGCAGGCGTTTATATTGCGCGAGGTGAATTATATCCCCCATTCAGAGGGGATCAAAACGACGCTTTTCGCACCTAGTCGGTGGAGAGGAACG